TTATTAAGGAGTGTCTCTATCCTTGGGGTTAGAGGTCCCTGTTTAAAGGGTTTATAAGGAGTGTCTCTATCCCTGGGTTAGAGTCTGTTTAAAAGGTTATTAAGGAGTGGTCCTCTATCCTTGGGTTAGAGTCTGTTAAAGTTTATTAAGGAATGTCTCTATCCTTGGGTTAGAGTCTGTTAAAGGTTATTAAGGAGTGTCTCTATCCTTGGGTTAGAGTCTGTTAAAGTTATTAAGGAGTTCTCTATCTCTTGGGTTAGAGTCCTGTAAAGGTTTTAAGGAGTGTCTCTATCCCTTGGGTTAGAGTCTGTTAAAGGTTATTAAGGAATGTCTCTATCCTTTTTTTTGGTGGGGGGGGGGGGGGTTTTTTTTTTAGAGTCTGTTAAAGGTTATTCGGAGTGTCTCTATCCTTGGGTTAGAGTCTGTTTAAAAGGTTATTAAGGAGTGTCTCGTCCTTGGTTTAGAGTCTGTTAAAGGTTATTAAGGAGTGTCCCTATCCTTGGGTTAGAGTCTGTTAAAGGTTATTAAGGAGTTCTCTAGGCCTTGGGTTAGAGTCTGTTAAAGGTTAGTACTGAGTGTCTCTAGTCCTGTGGGTTAGAGTCTGTTAAAGGTGATTAAGGGTGTCAATCGCTGGGTTAGAGTCTGTTAAAGGTTATTAAGGGTGTCTCTATCCTTGGTTGAGTCTGTTAAAGGTTATTAAGGGTGTCTCTATCCTTGGGTTAGAGTCTGTTTAAAGGTTATTAAGGAGGTCCCCTCATCATTGGGTTTAGAGGGTCCGTTAGAGGTTATTAAGGAGTGTCTCTATCCTTGGGTTGAGTCTGTTAAGGTTATAGGAGTGTCTCTAATCCTTGGGTTAGATTCTGTTAAAGGTATTAAGGGAGTGTCTCTATCCTTGGGTTAAGGTCTGTTAAAGGGGTTATTAAGGAGTGTCTCTAATCCTTGGGTTAAGTTCTTTTAAAGGTTTTAAGAGTGTCCTCTATCTTGGGTTAGAGTCGGTAAAGGTTATTAAGGAGGGTCTCTTCCTGGTTAGAGTCTGTTAAAGGTTTATTAAGGGTGGGTCTCTATCCTTTGTTGAGTCTGTAAAAAAACAAGGTTTATTAAGGATTGTCTCTACCTTGGGTTGAGTCTGTTAAAGGTTAGTAAGGAGTTTTCTCTAGCCTTGGGTTAGAGTCTTTAAGGTTCTTAGTGAGTGTCCCTCTATCCTTGGGTAGAGTCTGTTAAAGGTTTATTAAGGAGTGTTCTATCCCTTGTGGTTAGAGTCTGTTAAAGGTTATTAAGGGAGTGTCTCTATCCTTGGGTTATGAGTCTGTTAGAGGTTATTAAGGAGTGTCTCTATCCTGGGTTAGAGTCTGTTAAAGGTTATTAAGGAGTGTCTCTATCCTTGGGTTAGAGTCTGTTTAAAGGTTATTAAGGAGTGTCTCTATCATTGGGTTAGAGTCTGTTAAAGGTTATTAAGGAGTGTCTCTATCCTTGGGTTAGAGTCTGTTAAAGGTTATTAAGGAGTGTCTCTATCCTTGGGTTAGAGTCTGTTAAAGGTTATTAAGGAGTGTCTCTATCCTTGGGTTAGAGTCTGTTAAAGGTTAGTTAAAGGAGTGTCTCTATCCTTGGGTTAGAGTCTGTTAAAGGTTATTAAGGAGTGTCTCTATCCTTGGGTTAGAGTCTGTTAAAGGTTATTAAGGAGTGTCTCTATCCTTGGTGTAGTGAGTCTGTTAAAGGTTATTAATGAGTGTTCTCTTCCTTGGGGTTAGGTCTGTTAAAGGTTTATTAAGGAGTGTCTCTATCCTTGGGTTAGAGTCTGTTAAAGGTTATTAAGGAGTGTCTCTATCCTTGGGTTAGAGTCTGTTAAAGGTTATTAAGGAGTGTCTCTATCCTTGGGTTAGAGTCTGTTAAAGGTTATTAAGGAGTGTCTCTATCCTTGGGTTAGAGTCTGTTAAAGGTTATTAAGGAGTGTCTCTATCCTTGGGTTAGAGTCTGTTAAGGTTATTAAGGAGTGTCTCTATCCTTGGGTTAGAGTCTGTTAAAGGTTATTAAGGAGTGTCTCTATCCTTGGGTTAGAGTCTGTTAAAGGTTATTAAGGAGTGTCTCATATCCTTGGGTTAGAGTCTGTTAAAGGTTATTAAGGAGTGTCTCTATCCTTGGGTTAGAGTCTGTTAAAGGTTATTAGGGAGTGTCTCTATCCTTGGGTTTAGAGTCTGTTAAAGGTTTATTAAGAGTGTCTCTATCCTTGGGTTATGAGTCTGTTTAAAGGTTATTAAGGAGTGTCTCTATCCTTGGGTTAGAGTCTGTTAAAGGTTATTAAGGAGTGTCTCTATCCTTGGGTTAGAGTCTGTTAAGGTTTTAAGTGTGTCTCATCCTTGGGTTAGAGCTGTTAAAGGTTATTAAAGGAGTGTTCTCTATCCTGGTTAGAGTCTGTAAGGTTATTAAGGAGTGTTCTATCCTTGTGTTAAGTCCCGTTAAGTTATTAAGGAGTGTCTCTATCCCCTTGGGTTAGAAGTCTGTTAAAAGGTTATTAAGGAGTGGTGCTCTAATCCTTGTTAAGTCCTGTTACATGTTTAAGGACGTGTCCCTCTATCCTTGGGTTAGAGTCCTGTTAAGGTTATTAAGGAGTGTCTCTAATCCTTGGGTTAGCGTCTGTTAAGGTTATTACGGAGTGCTCTACCTTGGGTTGAGGGTCTGTTAAAGGTTATTAAGGAGTGTCTTCTATCCTTGGTTAGAGTCCTTTTAAAGGGTATTAAAGGAGGTCTCTCCTCCTTGTGTGAGAGTCTGTTTACAGGTTATTAAGGAGTGTCCTTATCCGGTGGTTTTGAGTCTGTTCATAGGTTATTAAGGAGTGTCCTTATCCTTGGGTTAGAGTCTGTTAAAGGTTATTAAGGAGTGTCTCTATCCTTGGGTTTAGAGTTCTGTTAAAGGTTATTAAGGAGTGTCTCTATCCTTGGGTTAGAGTCTGTTAAAGGTTATTAAGGAGTGTCTCTATCCTTGGGTTAGAGTCTGTTAAAGGTTATTAAGGAGTGTCTCTATCCTTGGGTTAGAGTCTGTTAAAGGTTATTTAAGGAGTGTCTCTATCTTGGGTTAGAGTCTGTTAAAGGTATTAAGGAGTGTCTCTATCCTTGGGTTAGAGTCTGTTTAAAGGTTATTAAGGAGTGTCTCTATCCTTGGGTTAGAGTCTGTTAAAGGTTATTAAGGAGTGTCTCTATCCTTGGGTTAGAGTCTGTTATTAACAGAGCTGCACCTGTAATACCTGCAGTAGTTTAACCCTGACAGACAGCTAGGCTACGTTCCATCCCTGGTTGGAGCAGATAGAAATCACTGCACTTCACAAAGTTAGAGGTTAGTCCAACTGCCACCAATGCGAAGTGAAGTGCTTTCTTTATTCAGTGTTCTTCAACCCCCGGTACATGGACTGATATTGGTCCCTGGGATGTTGCTGACTGGTCCCTCATAAAGATGGTTAACTTGTGTAGATTAAGCCAGTTCCAAGTGCCAATTCTAAATCGGTGGTCCCCAAACTAGGAGGACCATACCAATAGGGGCATTCCACATAATAGTGCTTGACCCCTTAAAAAACTTGATTAATTGATTAATTAAATGACCAGATGAGATAACATGGAAACTGCAGTTGAGTAGTCTATAGACCAATGTATACATACTACAGATTGAAAGGAACAAGCCAAACAGAGGAGTAGTAACATACAATGGACACCAGAGGGTAGAGTTGTGTAATCTGTGTATGAGGATATGCAGCAAGAACAGAAGGTGGTGGTGTTTGGTTTGGGTTGATATACAGTAAGCCTACATACATTAATCCTGTACATGTCCATGTTCTCTTCAGCCATTTTCATAAGCTTCTCATCAGGAAATGTTTTATCTTATCTTCTTTATTTTAGTTTTGAAACAAAAAAATAACTGAAATGAATTAAGAGATGATCAATCAATGACAATTTAATCATTGAAAATATCTTTGATACAAATTGAAATAACCCACCATATCATGTTACCAAAAATAAAGTCATTTTTATTTTACCAAATTACTTTACACAATCAAAATGATTAGCTATTATTGATGAAACATCAATCGCATCATAACTAATCATTGAGGTGATTATCATGTCAAACAGAATATGATGTGACTACGGTATAGACCTTATTCACAGCTTAATGTTCTAACATAGACAGCTAGTGCAGGTATATAATACATTGTTGTGTCAGTTAATATCAGCACACATGACAATGACAATGTGATAGCATTGTTCTTCTCAGTATCCCAAATCAAATAATATAACTTTAGTGCGTAGGTGTGAAGATTTTTTTAAATCTACAGGTCACGCTTTACAAAGGTTTTTGCATTGGTTTCAACAGAGCACTTCACATCTTACCCCGTTAGAACATTTTAACGTTGTAAAATTAACGTTGGTAAATTAATAATGACCGCAGTGTTAATAAGGTCTATTGGCAATAGATTTTGCTCAATATGCAACCTACAGACCAATTGTATCATTGAATACAGACATCATTGGCCATGCTCATCAATCATACTCCAACATGTTTCAGTGGAAGCCAATCGTTGTACAAAAGACGGGGTCCAGTTCAACCAGAAGGGTTTTGTATTTGTGCTGTTAATAAACCTTTTCCTTGTAACTCAGACACACCACAACGATGAACAGCTAAAAGCAGTGTGTGGCTGTCCTATCGCTTGGTGTCGCTGCTGTGTTAAAACAACCACCTGCTGGGTGTCGATGAATGGTGGCTGTTTATGTCGATTCAACAAGTAGAATAGTCTGATAATTAACTGAAAATGGAGGTTGATATTCTAGTCAAAGGCACTCGGCCATCCGTTGCTCTGGTGTGTTTCTATTCAACTTACAGGTTAAGTGGCACCTCAGCAAAGTGAGGTTATTATTATCATGGAATGTACAATGTTTAGTATCAGTGTACATCTGGCACTATGTGACATCATCATCAATATGTGACATCATCAGTAAACAACATCAGTCAGAGTCTACCTTAGCTTTAGGGTAGATGTCCTGTATCTTCCTCAGATCACAGGACAGATTGTATGTTTCTCCTCGAGTGAGAGTGCAGTCCGAACAGACCGGTATGTAAGTGCTTGCTCTCTGTTTCTCTTCCACCTACAACAGAATAAGAGATGATTACCAATGAGGACACAAAGACCTAAAAGGGGACAAATGTACAATACCTGAATGTTAAATAAATTGTGAATAAAAGTATATTATTAAAACGAAGTTGAATGAAGTTACACCAGGTGGGACGCAATAAGAAGTGAGGACTTTTCCTGCCTAAAGGAAGGCCACGTACAAAAAATTATAGTAAATAAATAAATAAAAACGTTTATTATTTTGTTATTTTTGACGACTTTTCTAGGTAAGCACAACAGTTCTAAAATAAATGACAAGACATGTTTAGGTTAGTGCATGGATTTGGTCTGTACCTCATTGAGGGGCACATTCGATGGCAGGACGATCACATTCAGAACTGACTGAGGGTGACCGAATGATTGGAGGAAAGGCAACACCTGTCCCTTGATCGAGAGGAAGGGTATAAACATTCTGACGAGGCCCCAAAAGGAGAGGTCTGTGATGTTCACCACTACGTGCGTGTCAGTCACCCTCAGTGGTGGTAAAACCTCCACACTGTCACCAGTAACATGGGCCACAGACAGGGAATCAAGACCCTCTCCTGCAAAACAGAAATATCTTACTCATCCACTGTGTCATTTGGCTGTTGTAATGATCATCTTGATGATAGTTGTGAGTGGTGTGTAACTCACCAGAGAGAATCTCACAGTGTGGGAGGTGTAGGTGACAGACCCCTGAGGACACTCAATACTGAATAGGGGTCCTGCAGGAGTCTGGCCTGTGGAGTGCAGGAGACTCTCGTCCCATTGGACAGTTCTGTACAGCACCTCCCCCTCCATCAGAAACACCAGCCCTGCCAAACTGCACTGGAACAGACCTGCATGGGAGCACTGGAGCCTGGGGGCCACAGGACAATAATCACACTTACAACAATAATAATCACAAATCCAAAGTACAGTATTTGTTCAGTGCTAAGAACAGCAAGCAGAATTTACAAATACAAATACTGTCCCCTACCATCACAAGAGAGTTGAAAGAGTTCTAATAAAGACCTTTTAATTTAAAAAAAGATTCACCACAGAAATATAAAGCATGTTTTCATATTTAAATTGATCGAGGTAACATAGCACATAGACAGCATTGAACTGAGCATTCATAGAATATTTATTGAATTGTGCACCCAATATTCCTATGTCCCGAACTTCCTACGAACATCACAACACTGTACTAACATGACATTTGTGGTTAATATCATGTGCGGATGAATAAAACGGGCTGTGGCAGGGGAGTACAGCATTGTGTCCCAATACTGTGGCACAATTGAACTTTAGGGCTGTTTACGTCGATTCGGAAAACTAAAAAAAACGTGGCATTTTCTTGTTTGATGAGTATTTCATAGAAAAGATAAGTTGAGCTCTGTACAAAATGTGGAGCAACACATAAATTGTCTCTATCCACAGAGATGAATTGCAACATCTTACCCTTTAGCCTCAGCAGAGATTCAGCCCCAGATCCAACCCAAGAATCATATCCAGTCTCAGGTCCTCTCACGTATGCACCCACTGTAGTACAACACAACTACAGATCACAACCTGGATCCTCTGACGTATGCACCCACTGTAGTACAACACAACAACAGATCACAACCTGGATCCTCTGACGTATGCACCCACTGTAGTACAACACAACTACAGATCACAACCTGGATCCTCTGACGTATGCACCCACTGTAGTACAACACAACAACAGATCACAACCTGGATCCTCTGACGTATGCACCCACTGTAGTACAACACAACTACAGATCACAACCTGGATCCTCTGACGTATGCACCCACTGTAGTACAACACAACAACAGATCACAAACCTGGATCCTCTGACGTATGCACCCACTGTAGTACAACACAACTACAGATCACAACCTGGATCCTCTGACGTATGCACCCACTGTAGTACAACACAACTACAGATCACAACCTGCCTGGATCCTCTGACGTATGCACCCACTGTAGTACAACACAACAACAGATCACAACCTGGATAAATATTTATGTTTGTTTTACTTTAGACAAGGTTAGTCAGAGTACCATACTTACTGCATGGAACAGGAGGGTCACGGATGTGATCTCCCTTAACTAGATATGGTTTCTCCCACATCTCAGGTATCCAATTCATTCCTTCATCACCATCTCTTTCAGGGTAAAACACATCTCCACTGTTGGCTGCCACCAACTCATCTATCTTCTCCAGAAGCACTGTGACCTGAGTGACATCACCCCTGTTGTTATTGTTGAGGACATGAAATCTGTTTCCCACATTTCTCAACAAGCCACTGGAGGGCCTTCCCTTCTCTCTGAACATGCTGCTCAATGGTTGTGTCTCCTAAAAAGTCCCCATGGGTGAACAGCACTATAGTGTGACTCCAGACTCTCTCACTGAGGAGCTCCAGGTGGTCCTCTGCAGCATTTGTCTCTTCTTCTTTGAACGACACATCCACCCGAATGACCAGGAGGAGAGTGTGGGGTCCTGGGGGACACAGAGACACACTGAACACAATCTCCTGTTTAAGCAGCTCAGGAGTCCACTGTACAGGGAGATTCTTCCACCACCCTGGAGTGTCGACCACAGTTACCTGCCTCCCTGCTACTTCTCCCTGTCTCTTCACACACTGAGCAGTTCTCCTCAGGTCAAACTCCTTTCTGCCCAGGATGGTGTTTCCTGCCGAACTCTTCCCAGCTCCTCTCCACCCGAGCAGCACAATCCACAACTCTGAGAGATGGAGGGTGTCACCTGGCATAGAAAGAGAGAGAGAGAGAGAGAGAGAGAGAGAGAGAGCGAGAGAGAGAGAGAGAGAGAGAGAGAGAGAGAGAGAGAGAGAGAGAGAGAGAGAGAGAGAGAGAGAGAGAGAGAGAGAGAGAACACAGCTTATTGAGCTGGGAGATGAACATCCTCTAGAACACATGATTGTGTGAATTGGGAACATATGATAACAATGTAGATGACATTATAGGTCATATTTTGATTACACAAAAATGTACTGTAATTGACTAAACACTCTGGGCCTCTAAATTGCAGTGGACAAAAATGTATTAAATAGTTCATCATCAACATTTGATAGATGCCAATAATGTGATGTAAATTAAATCTGTTGTATTCCAATTCCATTTATAATTGGGAAAATATTGGTTGTGCTCAGAATTTGAAATTATACTGTCTTGTTATAATGACCGTTGTATGGTGCCTTAATTTAGGAATTGGCATACTCCACCCACCTGAGGAGCTGTCTTTTGCAGCCATCTATTTCTTGTGTATGAGTGGTGCAAAATCTACTTGTCACTTAAATCTCGCTGGATTGATTGCTTTCAGTTTACTCCTGCGACTCTTTCATTCTCTTGCTTGTGCCTGTCGTTTTTTTCCGTTAACGTTACGACCGCGGAAATGTTAGTAATTACCTGTCAAACACACCCCGGTTATGGCTGAAATGGGCTCAATGGAAGACATTGTGTTTCCTTTGCATCTATAAGAACACTAAAGCTTCGTTGGGGATTTAACGTATCTTCTCGACACTTATATCAAACGAAAGAGAAGAAGGGGAACTTTATTTTAATGGGTGTGTCAAAGTCGCGTCAATTCAAATCTGGTATTAGGAACAAAAGAGGTCAACACGACTTCTAAGATATACTAGTTATTTTAATTAATGCAAAAACCTTCAATGGTAAATATGATGTTTCGTATATACGGGCTCTCTGAGATACCTTGCAGGGCACTTCAGAGAACTAAAGACATTGTTCCAGATTCAATACTCAAATACTCTGACAGAGGGAATTTCCCACTTCTCTGCTGGCCAATTAGAGTAGAGACTTGAGCGTGGTTTAAACTTTACTCAGCCAATCCGTTGATGCACCCCTGTTGCCAGCCTCTTCTGTTACCAGGCATACGTTCCTCATAACAACCTGTCATAGTGAGAAGAGCCAGCTCCCTTAGACACCATTCCTATGTCCAAGGAAGGCTCACAGATCACAAAGAACCAGTATAGTCTAGCATTTGAAGACACAATCCTTATCTCATTTTACCCCCTAAAACAGCTCTTCACATCAATCACAGCCTTGCCAGGTGTCACAACCTACATTAGCCCAGTCAAGAATGCATTCTTTCTAAGTTAGTCATCCCACCAATTTAGGAGAATAATAAATCCCCAATAATCCCCCTTTTCACACCTAATAAGGTGTGATTCAAAAAATAAGAAAACACAGATTGTCATTCATTATAATACAATACAAACAAAAAATCACACTTTTATTAATAGGCCATAATGATACTAAAAAATTAAAACCCTCAGTCCATCTACACCCAACCTGCAAATTGTTACCAGTCATCAAAAAACTTCAAACCATCACGTAAGGAAAGACAAACATTCACATGGTTAACTTGATTAATAAAGCATAAAACACAGGATTAATAGAACACAAAACATAAGACTATTAAAACACAAAACACAAACAGAGAAGTATATTTTGGCCCCCTTTAGACACCCTCTAGTGTCACTCCACCAAGCCTGGTATGTCATATCCTCCATTCCTAGGTTGGAGTCCAGGATTGGGCCGTATCTCACCATCTGTTGGGAAATCACCTTCTCCATCTCCTTTCTCACCAAACCTCAGACACAGGAAATAAGACAACATCCACAAAGAACAAGTATACCCATAGAAGCTATAACTTCACCCAGAATAGTTACAACAATAGTTTTCCATTTACCAAATATGTTATCAAACCAACCGTTCATGGAGCTATCAATACCAGATCTCTCAGCCAGTTCGTTCGTCAGTGTAGTTACTCCCTGAAGCTCTTTTGTCACTGACCCGTCCTGGTGCTATATTGTTTGAGGATGAAAATACAGCACATAGATCCAAACAGAACACAAACTCCGCCCCGCTCAGCCAAAAGCATATCTAAAGCTATTCTATTCTGCCATGTCATTAAGCTAGTTGCCGCTGTCTGCTCATCTAATCCCTTTATTGCATCACGAGTGTGGTTTATAAATCTTTGCTGGTTATAGTACATATAATTTATCCAATCTACGTTTTTATTAATTGTTGACCACCAAAAAATACTTGATTCAAACTCAACTGCGATCTGACTCCTAGCTTTGAATTTTTCTGGAACCCCTCGAGGTGCTCCTATCCCATCACAGGATCCTTTCATCAAAGGATCCCGGGAGGAGGTCCTACTTTCTACGTGACAACTCACCAGTCTCTGACACGTTTGATTGTTTGCGTATGTAGGTGAGTTCACAATCAGTTATCACCACACAACCATCAGATGTCAGCACGGGCCTGGTTTTAGTTCCTAAAATCCTCTGGCTGCAACAAAGAGGAGAGATTAGTCATGGTCTCTTTCAGTTGTGATATTCTCTGTGTAGGAGCAGAGCTAAGATGCCCTACTCTGTATCCTATCTTACTAGTCCTAGAAAAACAATTAGAATCCCCTGAGACTTCAAACGTAGGCAACCTAGGTCGGAATGACTTTGTTATCGGGGGATACAGATAGTTCAAGTTACTACAAGACTCTTTCACCACATTCCCAGGTGGCTTGCATGGAGGATAAACCTGTTTTTGCGTACTTCAGA